TGGGGGTGAGGGTGGTGGTGTGGGAATAGCTGTATTGGAGTTGCAGCAGATTTGAAAACGAAGAGATTTTGTTAAGAAGCTTAATTCAGCTACATGGGTAGGAGAGAAAAGAACACTCCTAGGTTTGTTCCAGAGCTCCACTTGCATAGCTCTCCCAACAGGACACTGAGTGATGGTCACCAGAGCCAATAATACACAAGCTAGCAGTACCGCAGCTTCAGTACTTTTGGTGGACCATTTAATGGAGGAGAGGTTGGGGCAGGGTGCTGTTACCTATCAACTATGGGGAGATGATTAAAGCTGGGTCTACACACAGGTATAATTGTGTTGGTTAGTGGTGTGATTTCTGTACTAATATGAATATACAAGTACACACCCCAGCCTCCCACTCTTGGTGAGGATACAGTTGTATCCCCCTGTAGTGCCCGATAAACTATTCCTGTGTGAGAAGGGGAATAAACTCTGCAGGAATTAACTATGTTGGTTGTAAGCACCTTTATACTGGTATAACTCTGTCCACGCTAGGCACGTGCACTGGTATAACTATACCAGCATTGTTAAAGTGGTACAATTTTGGTGTCTTGGCAAAAAGTAACTTAGATTCCCAGTAGTCTGGCACTGCAGGTTTCACTATCAAGAGAAAAACTGTTAAAATAAAATAAAACCACATGAGATTAGAGCTGACTGACAAATATTCCATACAAAAATTGTAATTGATTTAATTTTTTGTGATATGTTAATTGTAAATATTAATCAGGTTTTGTTATTTCTCATGGTTTTTTTTCAATTTTTGGAATAGTTTTTCAAAAAATTGTGGACAGTTTAGACACAAGATGTGTGTGTATTTTAAATCAAAATACAATATTTAAATAGCTTTAATTTATCTGAAAACAACAGTTGATTAATGAAAACTTTCAATTAAAATTCAGTGAAAATGATATTGGGCGTTTTTTGACAAGATTTCATTTGAAAAGTTTGGACCAGCTCTGCATAGTATTCCTCCTGTCCCCATGGACTTTGGCTCTGATCTTGCAAAGCCTTATGCATGTGCATAACTTCACTTATGAGACTAATGCCAGGGATTTCCATAGGGACTACTCATAAGTAATGTTACACATGGGTGCAAACTTTTGTAGGACCAAGGCCTTCCTAACACATTGATTTCTGACTGATCCATTAGCTCTAATCTCGACAGGCTCTGGACCTGATCCACTCTCATGGGTTTGCTTAGTCATTACACTGACATGTTCATTTGTATTGTTGTTGGAAAAGTATGGAATTTCTCAACCATACCCTGTCACTTTGGACTCTGCTGATCCTTGTAGCCTGACAGGTAACTAATTAGCATCTGATCCACACTGGTCTACTCATCTCCTGTTTATTTCTGCTATATATATTAACCTCTAGATTGGCCTTGGACCGTGGTGTCCAATACACTAGACACATGTGGCTATTTGGCCAGTTGAATGTGGTTATTTCACTATAAGGTTGCACACCACGGACATAGGAGTGTGGGTGATAATGGTTCATGGGTCAAACATGCCTCAAGAAGAGGGAAAAGAGGTATTTCATTATTAATTGTTAAATGCATCTATGAATTAGATGAGTTATGCAACGTGGCTGAGTTTGTTGACATAGGCACCCTAAAATTTTCCTTTCCTGTTTTTTTATAACATTAATTGAGCAACCCTGAGGATGCATTAACAAAGCAGGAAGGATAGACTAGTTCTGGGACCGTTCCCTTTAATTGCATATGGGAAGAATCAACTGCAGATATTATCCCAGAGTAATCCTAGGCCTGATTCATTTCTTACTTTTCTGATGTTCCCAAGAGCTCCCAATTTCACTGTAGTTAATGGGAGAATTGCCATGGACTCCAGCAGCAGCAGGACCAGGCTCCTAATGCGAGTGAAATACCTTTCCGTTCTTCTTTCCTTCCATTTGTACTTCTGCCTGTAATAAACTGCTAAAAAAAGTGAACAGAAACTCAAATTAGGTGGCATGGGAGCAGATTGAGTTTTTTCAATATCTGTACATTAGCATCACAAGTTGTACCAACTCCAAGCATTCAAAAATAAGATAATTATGAGACTTCTTTAAAGGTATGTCTAGACTGCATCCCTCTGTCTGCAAAAGAAAAAGGCTTTCTTTCGATCCTGTAAACCTCCTTGCAGGAGGCGTAAGGGATCTGTCGAAAAAGACTTTCTTTCTTGACAGATCTCCCTCTAGACGGCCGCTTTTTGCCGACAAAGTGCTGAGTCGGCACAATGCTTTGGCTATTTTTATGCAAATTAGGCACGGGATATTTAAATTCCTGCCTCATTTGAAATGTCGCCCTGCCTAATCTGCATCCCTCTGCTGACAGAGGGATGTAGTCTAGACATACCCTAAAAGTGTGTGTGTGCATGTGTCTCATAGTTACATTCTGGTTTTTGAGCTCTTAGGTTCATGTTTAAGCTTTTCCCCCTACCACAGGAGCTAGAAACATTTCTATAAAAAGTGAAGCTGAGATTCTTATGTAATTACACGATTCCAGGCGCTAACTATCAAACTGAAATTGGGAGCACTGGTAACAAGTTCATGCACAGGCCACTTAAGCCTGTGTGAACACATGCAAAGTCTCTGCCCCTGCCCTGGAGAGCTTAAAGCTGATGTAACAACCACACTTATGTAATGTGATCTGGCCTCTTCACCAAAGACAGATTTTTATTTCCTGTGGCAGCTGGCAGGTTTGTCGTTATACCCCATCAGGTTTTAATGCCTCGTTCATGCTATGGTTGAAACTGTGCAAGCACTAATTGTGTTTGAACTGGATTATTGCTAGCACCCTTTCCTTGACAGCTTGATGAGGATTTTTTCCTTTACCTGTGTCTTCGAGGCCTGTGCACCTCACCCCCTATTGCCATCTGTGCCCCCTTTCACAGGGACCCTTTTTGGAGCAGTCTGTGTCCTGAGGGAATTTTTCAGTCCCTGGCCTACACTGTTCAATGGTCTAACATGTTTTCTTTTCCATGTACAATGCTTAAACCTGCCAGGTGCTTTCTTCATCCCCTACCTCATCTTCCTCTTCACCTGTGGGATCCCGGTGTTCTTCCTGGAGACAGCACTAGGGCAATACACCAGCCAGGGAGGGGTCACTGCCTGGCGGAAGCTCTGCCCTCTCTTTGAAGGTGAGTAGATGTCAGAGTGGGAGAATGAAGGGAAAATTAGTGCTGGGTGAGGAACTAGAGCTGGGACATTTATCCCTCCTAATAGAGACCCAGGTAAACCTCTCCCACTCTACCTATGGCTGCCATGAAAAATTGTATTTGCCTTCCCAGATCAGTTCATGATGTACCTCAGCTGGTATCCTGCTGCCTCTCGCGCCATCAATATGTGCAAAACCAACAAGGTGCCTTAAAGGCTAACAGCTCCTACTGGTTTTTGTATGTTACTGTTCCTGATGTCTGGTTTGTGTCCATTTATCCTTTGGCATGGAGACTGTTGGGTTTGGCCTATATAAATTGTAGAGGGGCATTGCTGGCACGTGATGGCATATCACATTAGTTGATACAGGCCTGGACACAAAAAGAGGGCCTTTAACTTCCCTGGACACTCAGAAATGGGGTTCAAAGTAGCCATCTTTCTACAAAAAGTCTTTAAAACCAGACTATGAAGAGAAACAGCAGAGTTGCAATTCATTTGCAAATTTAACACAATCCAGTTAGGACTAAATAAAGATTTTGATTATTTCACCACAAAGGCAATTGTCCCTCTCTAGGGCTTCACACCCTCCCATCAGCTGCTGGGATTGAATTGGCCTCATTAACTCTGGTGCCACAGGACTCCTCATAGTTTTTGCAGATACAGACTAATATGGCTGCTCCTCTGAGGCTTATCAATATATGATGATGCTTCAGCGGAAAGTGAGAGCCCTGCCCATAAGTCTAGACTCTCCCCTCACTCACCTGTTCGTTCATCCAAAGTGGTGCTGAAAAATATCTCTTGCCTTTCCTGCCACTCTGGTCATGTTCACCCTCCTTGTCAAATCATATCCCTGATTCTCTTCATTCCTGCACTTAGGTGTGAGTTGTGGCCATGGAATTTGCCCCCAGGCAAAATTGTGCTTCTATATCTAAACTTTCATTTAAATAATTTAAAACCTGCTGTAACCCTTATTATTGCAAAGAAAACCTAAAATATATGAACTTGTGTCTTCTTCCAGAGTTTGCAGACAGTCTGAAACAGTTCACACCTCTCAGAGCTATTATCTCAGTTTTCCTAATGTGGTGCTAACTCTCAACCCAAATATGACATAATTTTAGCATAACCATCCAATGGGGTGTTTATCCCTCAATCCCAAACCACATTCAATGGTTACTTAGGTACCAAAACCTTAACTATCTCCTATCAAGCTGTCAAAACCTCCAGTTTCTCCCCTGACAGCTTCTAAAGATCTAGTAGCATGCTGCTCATGTAAAAACTTCAAGCACATTGAAAACTAATAATGTGAGGCTGAGCAAAATCAAAACTCTGTGTGATCTTAGAATCACAGGACTGGTGGAAGGGGCCTCAAAGTCAGCTAGTCCAGTCCTCTGCACTGTGGCAGGTACTAAGTATTATCTAGACCATCCCTGAGAGTGTCTGTCTAACCTGCTCTTAAAAATCTCCAATGATGGAGATTCCACAACTTGTCTAAGCAATTTATTCCAATACTTAACCACCCTGACAACTAGGAATTTTTTCCTAATATCCAGCCTAAACCTCCCTTGCTGTGATTTAATCCCTTATTCTCAGAGGTTAAGGAGAACATTTTTTTCCCCCTCTTCCTTGTAATAACTTTTTAGGAAATTGAGAACGGTTATGTTTCCTTCTCAATCTTCTCTTTTCCAGACTAAACAAACCCAGTTTTTTCAATCTCTCCTCATACGCCATGTTTTCTAAACCTTTCATAATTCTTGTTTTTTTTTCTGGACTTCCTCCAATTTGTCCATATCTTTCCTGAAATGTGGCACCCAGAACTAGATTCAAATAGTCCAGTTGAGGAGAGTAGAGTGGAAGAATTATTTCTCGTGTCTTATTGACAACACATCTGCTAATACATCCCAGAATGAGGTTTGCTTTTTTTGCAACAGTTTTATATTGTTGACTCATATTGTTGACTCATATTTTGAGTAATAGTGAACTGAATGTCAGGAGGACCATTCCTCATTTCCATATTTAAAGATTTCCAAAAATCTTTCATGTTCCAAGTTCCCTGAAAGGTCCGCAAGATGTTCTGTCCAGGACACTATGTGCTGTGGAAAGCCAGGGAGATAGCTACAGATTTGATTGATTAGGACCCTTGGCTAGATGGATCGGTGGTGTAAATTTGTGTTTCTTTAGGTGAGTAGGTGTCTATTCCAACATACTGTACAAAGCTTTATTAACCAACAAATACATTATATGAAAACACAAAGAGTAGCTCAAACCTCCACGAGCATGGCTGTTCCCAGAACCCTTCTCGGAGGACTGCTTGGTCCGCTCATAGCTCCACATACCCAGAGGTGACAGTAAAATGGTGTGCTCCTAGTGCAACTGGCTGAGGTGCTTGGCATTGTTCCCTGTAAGCTATGTTCTTTTGCAGCCACCAGAAATTTAAGGCAGGCTGGGGGTGCATTCCCCTACCAGTCCAGGACTTCCACAGCTCTGAGCTCTAGGGCACCATTTAGAAAGGGCTGGGGGGCTGAAGCCCCCCACTCCCCAAGATTTGTATCGGGACACTGCTGGCTGCTGTTCCCCTTCCATCACTGTCAGGGAGTGAGAGGAAAGCACACAGCACCCCTGCATTGCTTTCCCTCCTGGCTGGTGCGGAGAGGAGGGAATGACCCACGCTGTGTGCTTTCCTCTCGCTCCCTGACTGTGATGGAAGGGGAGCAGCAAGCAGTGTCCTGGCTAGAATCTCAGGGGGGGGCGTCAGCCCTGCTGCCCTCAATAAACAGCACCCTTGTTCTTCACATTCCCCCCTACACATCAATATCATAGACCCCTGTCCTGAGCCTCCTCCCCCCTCCTCCCCGACATCCATCCTCTTGTTCTGGGCCCCTCCTCATGCCCACAACCCTGACTCCCATACCCTAGCCCACTGCCCTGAGCCCATCCTTGTGCCCCCAACTCTCTGCCCCAAGCCTCTCCTCCCACCCCCGAACCCTGACTCCTCCATTCCTTCACCCTCCCCGACCCTCTGTCCTGATCCTTTCTTTCCAACACTGACTTGTCCTTTCCTCCTACACACACCCAGCCTCTTGCTCTTAGCCACCCTCTCCTAGGACTGTGTGTATGATATAACAATATCTGTAAGAAATTTAAGTTACTTCCCTTCTACTCATACCCCAGGAAACCACACATTCTCCATTGCCTCCAGATGAAGTAATGAGTTACCTGCCTGCAGAGCCTGTTTAGCCTTTTCCCAGAAGAATCATCCCTTGCTAACAGGGTGCAGTATTTCAGAAAAACACTCCAGAGGCTGGAATGGCAGTAGCGTGGGGTGTCCTATACAGCTAGAACTTCACAGCCGTTCTCCTGCTGGCAGGTGTTGCTCTGAAATGCCTATAAGCAACACCCTCCATTTTTCCTCCTTGCTCTGCAAACACTCTTGCCTCATTCCCTAAAGTGCGTCCTGAGTGGAGTAGCTTATAAGAGACCATGGTTTACTTGAACCACGAACATCCCAGCAGCTGTGTCTGAATTGAAGGTATAGGAGACTGGCCGGTAGAGGGCCTCAAGGCATGCAGTGCTTTGCTTTTAGAGGTTGTTGACATCCAGTAGAGTTTTAAACATTATTCTGTTGCTTTGGCGTTTCTCTTTCCTCTGCTGGTAAAGTTTGGTTCCTGTGACTATCAAAGCACAATTCTGACCCTGCTGTACTCATGAGTCTCTACAGACTCTCGCTAGGGTTCTCTTGCCCCTCAGCAACATGGGAAGGGCAGTGATCATGAGGAAACCCTGACAGTTGCATCTCCTAAGTGGCAGTAGATCACAAACACTTTATATGGGAGTCGGTCTCCCAAGGAAGCTTCCTTCCACTGGCTGCCGTGACAACGTGGAAAGTAGTCTGGATAGCATGGGGGAGATGGAGATGGTGATGGTCGCCATGCCAATGTTCACACTGTAGCATGGGAATCCCCAAATAAGAGTCAAGAGGAGGTGGGCAAAGGGGGAGAGAACTGGGGCAGTAGGCACTATAGACGGAGGGGATTTGGAGGGTTGGGAGAGGCAGGGTGCTAGGGCAGGTTCTGGCCCTGAGGCTATTCCCACTCATGTTCCTCTCCTTGTTTACCAACACTGAGGCCCTTCTCTCTGCAGGAATAGGTTATGCCTCCCAGGTGATCGTCATACTCCTGAATTTCTATTACATTATCGTCCTGGCCTGGGCCTTGTTTTACCTCTTCAGTTCCTTCACCATAGACCTTCCATGGGGCAGCTGTGACCACGACTGGAATACTGGTAACAATTCCCCTCTCTCTCCTCTCCCTCTCCAGCTTCCCCAGCAGTTCACAGGGAAAAATCTGCCATCTACAAACACCATCTAACCTGAGAAAGCAAAACCCAGTTTGCTGTGGGGGAGGGACCAAGGCTGGCGTGAGTGGGGAAGAAGCCCGGTTTATTGCCTTTCTACCTGATGCAGCATCTGTTCTGTTCAAGTTTGTTCGATAAGCTGGGTCTCTTCTAGAACATGCCCTAAAATGCCAGCCACCAGCAGCTCCCACTGACTCCTGCCTGATCTGTGCAATAGATCAGCTCGTGTGTTAGGCCGGCTCCCTCATGCTGTTCCAACAAGGGATCTCAGTCCTGGAGGGGTTTCCCCTCTTCTGGCAGCTGTGGGGAGGGGAGGGAAATTCAGTCCTCTGCTTCTTGTACTCTGCGTCCATAGTGGGGTCCCAGACCTACTTGGGAGGCCTCTACTCTCTTTGAAGGGAAAAGAGAAATTTAACCTATACGATTGGCCAAGCCTTGGTTTTTCCTCAGCATTACTTTGTCAATGGGGACCCCAACCCAGCCTTTGAAGGGACCTTGCGTTCTGAGCAACCACAGGGATTTTTAGAATATTTGTCTCCTTTTGAATATTATGCTACTGTATGGAAGGGGGTTCTGCAGTGTTTCCCAAGAGCTCAGCTATTGCAATTGTATCTTTGTTCTCTCTCCCTGGGCATGTCCTGCAGCGAACTGCGTGGAATTCCAGAAGGCAAACGCCTCTCAAAACGTGACGACTGAAAATGCCACCTCCCCTGTCATTGAGTTCTGGGAGTAAGTGAAAGGCTTGTATTTCTCTGACCCCTCTAGGAGTTACAATCCCTCTGCGATGATCCTCATCCCCACCAGGCAAGTCCTAGTGTATAGACTTCGGGGTTTTCACAAAAACCTCAAACTGCACAGCACCCGTGAGAACAACATGGGCCAAATGCTGCTCTTGATTACAGTTCTGTAAATGTAGAGAAACTTCACTGAAGTCAGTGGAATGCCTCTGGATTCACACAGGTGTACTTGGCAAGTATCCTGCCTTATCTTGTGGTATCCTGTCTTTCTTATAAATTCCTTGTCTTTCCTGCAGTCTGACCCAAATGCTTCCCCCACATGAAGGCATTCTCACTGACTTCAGTGAGGTTTAGCAAATGGGTTAATGAGGTTAGAATTGGCTCTCTCTGAACAGACCTCATATTTACTGCTCTTCCTCCTGCACTTGGTCCTGCTCATTCTCTGTTGCTCATTCTCTTCTTACATCTCTCTCTCTCTCTCCATGCCTACCTATTTACCTACCTACAAAACAACTACACTTCTCTTCCTACTGTTTCCCCCACATCCTCTTTCTTTTCAGCCTGCTTACTGTCACTCTTAGTACGAGCATACCCCTTCTCAGCATAGCCTCATGTGGTCACAGATTTTCAACCTAAATCTCTTCTTGATACATTGGGTCAAATTCATCCTGGGTATAAACTCCACTGACCTAGTGGAATTAAAGTAGGACATCAGTGGAGTTACACTAGGGATGAACTTGGCCCTTGTTTCCACTCTAGAGAGAAGCTGTACAGGCCTCAGGGTTACTTCATAGAGTGTTTTTTGTAATTTCATCTAGGACTAGTATAACATGGAAACCATTGGAAGTAAAGCTGGGAATGGGTTGAAGTCTGTGGCTATTCAAAGGGTAGCAGTCAAAACTCTCATCTTACAAGGCTGGGCCTCCTCAGTGTAACCCTTCTGCTAGGTGGAGCCAGCAGCAACCTGGGATGGGTTCAGTATCTAGGGGTTCACTTCCATCGGTACAACAGAAGCAGCTCGAGCCCCTACCCAGTAAAGGAAAGTTACACCCCCACTCTGGGCACATGTGAGAGGCAACAGTACCCCACTCGCAGGCATTGAGTCTGAGTATAGAAAAGAAGCATACTAAAAGGAGGAAGTAACTGTGTTAATCTGGGAAAACATCACAAACAAGGTTCATAAACATACATCATGAGCAAAAGGCCCACCCCCACGTAGGTTGGGCAGTGTCCCTTTCCCTTCAGGTTCTAAAGTCCCGCAAACCAAAAGTCCCTTTCACGTGCCTGACCTTTCTCAGCAGCCCACTCGTAGTTGTTATCCTTGGTCAGAGCCAGAGTTCAGAGGTATGTCTGGAGAGTTCACCTCCAATTCTGGTTGGATGGGGGTTATAGAGGCACCTTACTCACTCCAGTGCTCTCCTCTCCCAGCCACTCCTGCTGGCCATTTGACAGCCAGTCCTGCTAGCCACCTGCTCACCATTACTGCTGTCATCTCGCTCCTCACACCTCTCCACAAATCACCCTGCTGGCTGTTCACTGGCCTCTGTCACCAGCCACCTGCTTGCTACTTCTGCTGCTGGCTGTCTGCTCACAGCTCTCATTGCTCCGCACCACCAGCCACCTTGCTGGCCACTCACTGCACCTTTCCATCTAACCAGCTACTCATTCACTAATCACCTTCTTCTGCCACCTGCCTCTCTCCTGTGACCTCTGCACATCAGTTTCTTAATAATTTTCAGCTCTCTGCAGGCTGGGCAGAAACACAGTCCTACCACAATTGATTTCATCTTGGAGCATTTAGCATAACAAAGAGGCTCCTAATGAAGCCTGCTTAGCTCTTTCTTTGAATCGTGTGTGTGTGCGCGTGTGCGCGTGCACAAGGGGCAGATTAAACCAGTCCAGGTAGGACCCTTGGGGGAAATTCCACACCTCCTGATTGGAACACCTGTCCCTACCCCTTCAACTTTCACAGGGCTCTGGCATTCAAGTCCCTGGCTTAAAGAAGTCCTTTCAACCAAGGGTAACCCCCCTCATTTGGGACAGTTTGGCTGTGTCTACACTGGCGGCTTCTTGCGCCAGAAATACGCAAATGAGGCTAAAGCGTGGAATATTGCTGAGCCTCATTTGCATACCGAATGAACCGCCATTTTTGCAGAAGAGGCTCTTGCACTAGAAGGAACTGTCTACACTGCCCCTTCTTGTGCAAGAAAATCCGTCTTGCGCTATGCCACTACGCTGATTATTTTCAGGAATAACGGCATTGCGCAAGAGGGTTTATCTTGCACAAGAAGGGGCAGTGTAGACAGTTCCTTCTAGTGCAAGAGCCTCTTCTGCAAAAATGGCGGTTCATTCGGTACGCAAATGAGGCTCAGCAATATTCCACGCTTTAGCCTCATTTGCGTATTTCTGGCGCAAGAAGCTGCCAGTGTAGACATAGCCTTTAAGCACAGTCCTGCTTCCCTATATTCAGAGGATAGCGCCAACATTGGTAATAACATTTTACTACCCCTACACTCAGGACCAAAGCAATTTGTAACCCAACGCCAGCCAAAGTTGATTACTTTGAGCCACTGTGCTCTATCTGTGGGATATCTAAGCGGAGTAGGGGTGTTCATATAAATATAATTAGCTCCGGAAGCCTCCTCTCCTCCCTCCTGGCTGTCAGGGGAGCGTTCATTCAGTTCGTTGAGACTCTTACAACAATACATGAATTTGGGGGAGAAGCTACAAGAAACCCTGGCGCTGTAAGACTCAGTGCTGGTGATTCAACAGGTGGGACCCTCCCTTAGAGTCAGGACTTAGCCCAGCGTATTGGGCCTGGGCTCCGTGCTGCTGGAGGATGGTGACGTGGATAAGATGTAAAAACCAGGGCTTGTGATCATTGAAGATTTCACAGCCCTGGTGGGAGAGGGGGCTTGCTAGGCATGGAGTCTTGGCTTCAGTTCAGTCGGAGGAAACTCCCTTTGGCACATTGAGATGGCTGCAGTGTTCCTCTCTGCCTGTCCCAGGGGGTTGTGCAGAGCTGCGGTGTGCTTTTGAGCAGTAACCTGTGGCAGCGTAGTGATGTTGATCTCTCTCATCTGTGCAGGGGGTGGTGTTTCTTTTTGGGAAGAAAGGTGCTGTATCGATGTGGTGTTAATAAGTAAAGAGCATTCACTCCAGCCATATTCAGCTTCTCTCCTTTTTTATGCTGCCTTTCAGCAGCTCTCCTTGTTTATCCTTCCCTCTTTTCTCTTCCTTGTGGCTTCTTTTGGGTTGTCACGAGTACAGCGTGAGCTGCAGGGCTGGCATTTCTTGGCCTGTTCTGCCTGGGGCTGGCAGCTTAAGAGACTGATGTTAAAATCAATGTTTTGGACAGTTATTTAGTATTGGGACAATAGCAGATGGGAACGGAAATTTCCTTTGTCCCAACTCCTGGGTCAGCCTCTGATGGAGGAGAGAAGCAGGCTCTGCTCTCCCTCACTGGGAAATGGAGGGTAGGGTCCGGGGAACAGGGTAGACCTTCGTTTGCAAGGTATGAATCTGCATTGTATTTTGTGTCCTTCTGAGGCTCCCCTGAGCAGCACTTGATGCCCTCTCCTTCTACAGTCCTATGCTCTGTTACTGTTACACTCTTGTACCCTGCCAGAAGCCTTTCATGCTGAGTGCCCTTGTGCCATTCGCTACTGCATGCATGTGTAACCCTTCTGCCGGGTGGAGCCAGCAGCAACCCAGGGCCAGGGTCGATATCCAGAGTTTCTTCTTCACCATACAACACAGACCCCCCCACCGCCACCTCCCGTAACTTAGGGGGATTACATAGAAAGCTTGGATGCCCCAAGTGGCAATCCTTCCCCACTTGTAAGCACAGAAAATAACCTTTTAATGAAAGGAAAGAAGTCACCGGACATTAATTAGGGAAAATGTCACAAGCAGGATTCTTAATCATAAACCTCTGAGGAGGAGACCTACCCCAGTGTGTGTGGGCCAGTGCCTTCTGCCTCAAGTTCTTGAGTTCTGCAATGAAAAGTTCCCTTTCTGTGCCTTTCTCTGCTCCCTCACCATCTCCCACTCACAGTGGTTGTCCTTGGTCAGTGAGGACCCAGGGTTCAGAGTTGTATCTGTGTGTGAGTTCACCTCCCACCTGGGGAAGAAGGAACCTGGCTTGCTCCACCATCTGAGCACTTGCTCTGGCTGGCCGCTCCACCAGTTATGGCTTCCCTCTGCTGGTCGTAGTTCCACTTGCCAGACACTTGTTGTCTCACCCGCTACTTGTTCCCCAGCCAGCTGTCAATCACCTTCTGTTACCACTTGCCTCTCTGCTGTGCTCTCTGCACATCAGTCTTAGTGCCTTTAGCTCTTAGCAGGTTGGGCAGAAACATGGCCCCATCACAACTGATTTCAGCTCTGACTGAGCATTTATAACAGGGGTTCTCACCCCTGTTGGGACACCCTTGGGGGGGTTACAAGGTTACTACATGGGGGCAGTCATGACCTCTCCGCCTTCAGCCCGAATCCAGCTTTTCTGCCAGCATTTATAATGGTGTTCAATAGATGATAAAGTGTTTTTAATGTATAAAGGGGGAGGGTTGCCCTCAGAGACTTGAAGTCACCAGTGCAAGAGTTTGAAAACCAGTGATTTAAAATGAGAGAGAGGTTCCTAATGGAGCCTGTTTAGCTATATATGGACCAGTGGGAAGGAACAGGTTAAACCAGACCAGGAACCTTGAGGACAGGACCGAGGCATCTTTTTTGGGTTAGGGCCACTGACCCACAGAAAAATCAGTCGGGGGCCACGCACAAGTGAGAAGCAAAAAGAAGCAATAAATAAATCAATAAATCCTCACTGAACCTCAGGGGCCAGATCCAGGCAAGTCCAGGAACGCATGCAACTCCTGGGCCTTAGGTTCCCTACCCCCGCCTTAGGGAGAGTCCACGCCTCCTGGCTGGGACACTTGTCCCATCCTTCTTACTTTCACAGGGCTCTGGCATTTGAGCCCCTGGCTTAACAAGGTCCTTTCAACTGACCCCCTCATTTGGGACCGGTTAAGCACAGTTCTGCTCCCATTGATTCATACAATAAAGACAGCAGCATTGGTAACCACATTTCACTACCCTTGCACTCAGTGCTAAAGTGATCTGTAACCCAACACCAGCCACAGTTGATAACTTTGAGCAACAGTGCTCTATCTGCTGGCATCTGAGCAGAATAGGTGTGTTCATGTAAATACAATTGGCTCCTGAAGTCTCTCCCCCCCCTCCCGCTGCCTTCAGCTATCTGTCAGGGGACAGTTCACTCAGACCCTGCGTATGCCTGCAAGAGGCATCCATTTTGTTGGTGCCAAGAAAATAGGTGAGACAGTGAAATATCAGAAAGAGAGGGGGGATTTTCCCTGGACATTGTGAGATCTGACCTTTGTGCAGGGCTGTTGAGCAGGTATTCTCTTGGGGTATGTCTACACTAGCCCTCTAGATCGATCTAGGGAGGCTAATGAGGGCGACCGAAATTGTAAATGAAGTGCGGGATTTAAATATCCCGCGCTTGATTTGCATGTTCCCAGCTGGTCGCCATTTTTAGAAATTGACTAGCCCAAAGTAACTGTCCACATCTACACACAGCAGTGAAACGGGATTCCGAAGTAAAACCCTAACTTGAATTAGCTGGTAAACCTCATTGCAGGAGGAATACCAGCTAATTCGAGTTAAGGCTTTATTTTGGAATCCCATTTCACTGCCGTGTGTAGACGCGGGCAGTTATTTCGGGCTAGTCAATTTCTAAAAAGGGCGACCAGCTGGGAACATGCAAATCAAGCGCGGGATATTTAAATCCCGCGCTTCATTTGCAATTTCAGTCACCCTCATTAGCCTCCCTAGATTGATCTAGGGGGTCAGTGGAGATGTACCCTTGGTTCCTGGCTGATGGGGCAGTGGAACAGGAAAGGGTGTAAGTGCAGCAGCACCCTTGCTGGATTTTTGGTGTTCTGGGAGGTGCATCTATTAGATGATGTATGATGCAGCAGGAAAGGGCACACGTGTATCCTCTTTCTCTAGTCGTTGGGGCTCTTTTTCTAATAGCTTGTAGTACCTTGGCCCATCTTTTAATCTCTGGGAGTGGGGACAGTGTTGGGGGGGAGGGATGCAACTTCCATTCTCCAGCTGCTAGGGCAGC